GAAATGGACTGGATTGGACTGGACAGTCGGACCAATTGACTAGTCAGATAACTGGTTCCATTTCAACTTAAAACCATTAATTTGGTCAATGACCCATTGATCGGGCAGTCGAACTATTCACATGTTGACGTGAGCAATGGTTTTAGCTATTTCTATTAATTTTTGACCCAGAAAGTGATGATCGGACTATTTGAGCCCGAAAGTGATGTTTCCCTGCAGCAAAAGTTATAATTATTGAACGGGATGTTAATTACATCTCCTAAAGCATAAAAAAATTTTTAACGTAATTGTTTGAAATGTGAACTAATAGATGCATGCTAACTCTTAAGAAAATAAAAAACACTAGCGGAGGGACCCTTCTTTTTAGGGGTTGGAATGGAACTGTCGACCCATTGACCGTTGCTCCGGTTTTTGGCCAAAAACCGTTGAATCGGTTAATGATTCATTGATTCAAACGGTCAAACCGTTGACCCATTCAATGGTTTTTGGCCGTTTTTTTTATTTATTTTTTCAATGGGAACCATCCAAGCAACTGGTTCCACTTTATCCTAATCTCGGTCCCTATCCAAAAATCGTTGAATCAGTCAATGAGCCATTGACCCAGGCGGTCAAACCGTTGATCCATTCAATGGTTTTTGTTTTTTTTTTTTTAATTTTTGTTATTAGAACAGGCCATCCATTCGAATCGAACAGTCAAACCGTCAACTCGAAAATCGGTGGCTAGAATGGTTCCGTCTTTAGGTTGTACGAGTCACACGCTCGAATGACATAACTTGTATGGTACTGCTTAATGGACCTCAAACACTAAATTTTTTGCTTGTAATTTTTTTTTGTCAGGACGAGTCGTCCATTTTTTTTAATTGGGTACCGTCCAAGTAGGGGTGCAAGTTGGGTTGGCCCGAGTTAACAGTTTACACTGTTTCGTTCTTGGGCTTCGGGTTGGGCCCATTGAAATTTTGACAAAATCCCAACCTTAACCTGGAAAAGATGCACCCCTACGTTTAGGCAACTAGTTCCGTTTTACCCCAATCCTAGTCCCTAGCCAAAAACCATTGAATCAGTCAAGGACCCATTGCCCGAGTGGTCGAACCGTTAACCCATTGACCCATTCAATGGTTTTTGACCATTTTTTTTTTAAATTTTTGTTGTCAGAATGGGCCGCCCGTTCAAACCGGAAGATCAAACTGTCAACCTGAAAACCGATGGCCAGAACGGTTTTATTTTTGGGTCGTATGAGTTACATGCTCGAATGACATAACATGTATGATACTGCTTAATGAACCTCACACACTCAATTTTTTGCCTGTAATCTTTGTTGTCAGAATGGGTCATTCGTTCGAACCGAACGATTGAACCGTCGACCTGAAAACCGGTGGCCAGAATGGTTCCATAATTTTTTTTTGTTGTTAGAACGGGGCCGTTCGTTCGAACTGAACGATCGAACCGTCAACCCAAAAACCAATTTCCATAACGGTTATATTTTCAGGTCTTATGAGTCACACGCTCGAATGACATTACACATATGATACTATTTAATGGACCTCGCAAACTCAAATTTTCGTTGTCAAAACGGACTGTCCGTTCGAACCGGATGATCGAATTGTCGACCCGAAAACCGGTGGCCAGAACGGTTCCGTAATTTTTTGCTTGTAATTTTTGTTGTTAGAACAGGCCATCCGTTTGAACTGGATGGTCGAACTGTTGGTTGTTAGAATGTTATTAACAACATTTATCAATAATACTAAGTAATTATGCTATTTAATTAAATAATCATTAATGATAGTTTTAATAATATTATTTAGTTATTTTTAATATAACAGTAAATATTAAATTTATGAATAGGATTTATTAACAATATTCATTAAATTAATAATTACCAAAATTAAATTAAATTAACAGTATTTATCAGTAATAGTAATTATAATATTTTATTAAATAATCAATAAAAATACTTTTAATAACTTTTTTAATTATTTTTAATATAACAATAGTTACTAAATTTATTAACAGTATTTATTAATAACAATCTTTATAATTTTAATTTAAAGTAAATATTTATTTATTAACAGTAAAATTAATTATAATTACTGTAATAATCACTAATTATAACAATAATTACTAAATTTRTTAACAGTATTTATTAATAACAATATTTATAATTTTAATTTAAAGTAAAATTAAAGCAAATATCTTAAATTACTGTAATAATCAATAATTAATTGACAGTATTTTTTTAATAACAGTATTTATAATTTTAAAGTAAATATCTAGTTATTAGCAATATTTATAATAACAATAATTATTAATTATAATCACTAATATTTATTAAGTTACTGTAATAATCAGTAATTACTATTATTATTAATAACAATAATTTAATAACAGTAATTAATAATAGTAATTACTGTTATTGTAATTAATAACAGTAAATACTGTTATTTATATTGCACGGAGAGAGCATCCCAATCAATATATATATATAATAAGATTCCAGCAGTCAAAATGAGTAAAAAACTCCTTATTATGGATTAGTAAAATTTAATATACCACTTCAAAACTTATTAGGTGTTGACGCATTTGGCGATAGAGACATGCTTCGAAGTCGTGATCGCAGGAGCAGTTTTGTCCTTTCGTCAACGTTAACGGTGAATACTTTAACAAGTTATGTTTAAGTAATTCTGAAAAACATAAAGCATATTTGAATAATTTAATAAAACATAGTGTATATATTAATCTTAGAAAAATGACTAATGTAAACATTTTTGTATACTCTCCCAAGCCAACACTAACGTGTTACATGCGGTTGGTTATGTATCGGAATTTGTTCCATACAAAAGCGCACCTTACACCAATCTCATAGCCCTATCCTACAATGTATGAATTGGGATATGTTCCTCACAGAGTGGATCTTATATTCACAGTAATATCCCACCTTATATTAGAATATCTTCCCATGAATAATAAATACAAATATGGGAGATGTTCATGATGTGCGGCCAAGACATACTATGAGGTCGGTGTGAAATGCGCTGAAGAGCACACAGAGCAGATTTGGACTCACTGTGTATTAGAAACATCTCCTAAGAATAGCAACATAAAGTACATGAGAAGTTTCCAATGTAAGACGGGGAGGCATTGTAAGGTTGATGCAAGGAGCGCTTTGTGAGGATTCTCACAAGCACATCCTACAATGTATTGGAGACATCTCTTAATAATTAATATATATGGGAATTGGGATCTGCACCTCGCACCTCACTAACTTCATAATCATATCCCATTGTGTATTGAGAACATCTCTCATGAATAATAACACAGAAGTAGGGGAAATGTTTCCAATGGACTTGGATCTACTACGCATTAGTTGCTGCCACATCCCTACACATGGTACATAACAACTGTGCATTGGAAATATCTCCCTTYTCATTCATAGAATGGTGTTTGGTGAGTATAGATGTGAGAACATTTTGTGAGTAGCAATCTGGAGTGGTTTTTAATCATGGTTTTAAAAGGCTATTGAGGCGAGGCCAAAGGCCTAAACTTCAAGGAGAGGCTGACTAAAAAGGCCTGGCCTCAATAGCCTTTACTCTCCATTGCCAAGGCTTAACCTTGAGTTGTTAGAGGCCTATGTCTTTAAGCCTTTAACCTTCTGAAGTGCAATGCCTAAGGCTTAAATAATGACATTTTTTGAAAATATTGTTAATGGGAATTACTATTAAATTATATATATATATATATATATATATATTAGTTGTTAAAATAATTAAATGATAAATTCAAGGTTATGGTAATCTATCCAACTTCAGCTTATGTCATTAAGGAGTCCACAACCTCAATAAGAACTTATTCACTAAAAGATAAAGCAATAAGCTTTTCCAATTCAACATATTCAGCTATTATCAAATGACCTAAGTTATGTCATCCAAATAATTTTTTTATGGATTATGTAGGTAAAATTAAAAGTCTAAAACAACCTAGTGGAACTATAAAGCAATTTTTTTATCAATAATGGGAAAGAAAACTCCAAAGAAAAAAAGTATTAGAGAAAATATAAAATACAAAAAAATAAATTTGACACTTGCGATATATGATTATTTTTTAATAAAAAAATTTATTAGCTTGGTCCCTAGATTAGGTCAACTTCAAATTGGATTGGGTAATGTAAATCTAGAAAATAAATTATCTTTTTTTTTCATTTTTTTTCTAATAAACATAAATACATAATTTTTGTTTTTTTATTATTCAAGGCTTTCGCCTCAAAACGCCTTTAAGGTTAGGCCTCGCCCCTTTCACACCTAACCACCTCGCCTCCGCCTCACTTTTTAAAACCTTGTTTCGACATCGTAGCATGTGCCTCTGAGGTCGGTGTGAGAAGGCGGCTGAGAGGTGTTGTATAGTTGGTGTATGGAGCGAGTAGATCCGGACCCGTTGGTTATATACGGCGTTGGAATTTGCTAAATTCTTGTTTGTAGCATATTGGGACCGCCAGCTGGCATCTTCAATCAATCCCCTTACAGAATCACCAAAAAATCCTGATGGATTTCGTACTATTCGACCATGATGATACCAGAAAACTTATTGTTTTTGGTATAATCAATCATCCAACGGTATCATAATTCATAAAAGTGGTATTTTCCCTTTATTTTATTATCAAAACATTTCTTTCCCCCCGAAAAATAACAAAAGTCAACAAAACGGACATTACCTACGCGTGAGCCTTGCGCGTCTGGAGAATATAGAGAGAAGCTTCTCTGACCATTTCGCCGCGTGCTTGCTCTCTGGGCTGGACAGCCATGTATGGTCTGTCTCTGTGCACCATTTTACCGTTTCAATCCATCTTTCCAATAATGCATTCTTCATCCAATGGCGGATAACAAAGCCGCGTCATCATGGTATCAGTAAAAGTTTCAGAAAATCTTAAGCGCGGTAACGTGGCTTTTTTATCTGCTGTCAAAAGGAGTATTCCCTCCTTTCAGAAGTGTGGAAATTTTCAATATATACACGCTTCGTCTTCTGCGACTCGTTCCAGAGGTGAGTCTCACCTACCAAGAAAACAGAGTAAAGATAAGAGGATTCTTCTAGTGTTGATTGTTCTGTTCTGTGGAGTCCGAGAAACAAAGTAGGAGCGTTCATCAATCATCTGAAGTGAACTCGAATCATTTGAGGTATGTTACTTCTTCTTTCTGAAGTCTTTTGGCTTGATGGGTATTTTATTTTTCTTGATGAGCTTCAATGTATGAGCGTTCAGCATGTCTTTGGGTTGCATAAATTAGCAATCCGCAATCTGCATGTCCTATTTCTATCATGTAGATCGAAATCTGTCTCTTTCAGAAAATTTTAGAAATCTCTCATTCTTTCCTCTTCCCCTCTATTCATCTTTGTGTGGCTTTTCAAATAGGGTTTTGGGATTTGAAACAGAGTTTGTGAACTTAAGACCTCACTATCTTGGATGCCCTGCTTCGCTCTGTTTCATGCTAGAGAGAAGAGAAACTGTTGAAACCTAACTTGCGCTGGGGTTTAAGATGTATAGTTCATAATTTTCTTCTCCGATGCCCTGCTCCTCTCCAGACTCCAATGCATATTAGTGAAATCCATGAAAATTAATTAATCTACCATACACAGGTTGGTCATGTTGTTAGTTCTTATCCAATCACGCTTTTGATTTTCTGCGCCGCTCACGTTTTAATTGAAGATTTTTTTTTTTCTTTTAAAAAGCTGCTCAAGTTTAACAGGAATAGTTCTTTCTCACTTCGATTTTACGATTTTAATATGATATCTAATCTACTCTTCATTTCCTCGACAGGTCCTCCGTTGAGCTCCGTTTCTGCCGATGGCCGATCGAGTCCACCCCAGAGACTCCCCACCCATGGATAGAACTGCCCAACAAGCACCGGAAAAGCCCGAATCTCCTCCGAAACTGCCCCTATCAGTTCCAGAGAAACCAGTTCCTCCGCCCGGGACCTACGTCGTCCAAATCCCCAAGGATCAAATCTACCGGGTCCCACCACCGGAAAATGACCGCAAGTACAAACTCTACAGCCAGCGCAAAAACCGCCGGAACCGCTGCTGCTGCTGCTTCTGCTGGTCACTCGGCCTTTTAGCTCTCCTTATCTTTCTTATTGCCATTGCCGCCGGCGTTTTCTACCTCGTCGTCCGGCCGAAAATCCCAAGTTACTCCGTCGAGGACGTCTCCATCAAGGGCTTCAACCTGACTTTAACGGATCCGACGATCTCGCCGGTGTTCAACGTTACCGTGAGAGCCGAAAACCCAAACAAGAAGATAGGCATCTATTACGAGACAGGAAGCTATGTCGCCGTGTCGTATACGGACGTCAAATTATGTAACGGCGCCTTGCCTGCTTTCTTTCAGCCCAGTAAAAATGTAACGGTCTTTGCAACGGAGTTAAAGGGGTCGGACTTGAGACTGTCGAGTCAAGTGCACGCGACGCTGACGCAGGAACAGAAGTTGGGCAAAATTCCGTTAGGGCTGTATCTGAAGGTTCCCGTTAGGGTTAAGGTTGGCTCCGTTAAGACTTGGACGATTACCGTTAAGGTTCATTGCGATATAACGGTGAATAAACTATCAGTGGATGCGGCCGTTCTTTCGAAGAGTTGTGATGCTAGACTAAAGCCCTGGAAGGACTAATAAGGTGGAACTGCTTATAGCCGTGGGTTGGAGATATTGTTTTTTTTTTTTTTTTAATTCTTTTTGTTTAATTTGTTTTGTGTTATACTGGGGATACATAGATTATCGAAATAATATATGCGTATTTGACTAATTATATATTATATAAAATTTCGGACCCCTTCAACCAGGATTTATTCAACAGTATATTAATGAGGACCTAGTATTTTTTTTTATTTCTGAATTTTTAAAATGAGGACCTAGTATTAAGGTGATGATATCATAGACCAAATGGTGACGATGATTAACCATAATTCTTGAACCATTCTTAGGTCCGTTTGTTTATATGAATAGGGGTCTGGAATCAGAATGGGTTATTTCCATTTCAACTGTTTGGTTGGGCAGAATTGAAATCTTATTTTCATTCCTATTGGAATGACATTTTTTCATTTGAGGGAATAGCCATTCTTTGCTTTTTTTCTTGGGAATGGAATTCCATTTTTATTGATTTTAATTTCCATTCCGATTCTTGTTAAACTAAAACAGACTATAAGAATGGAACATTTCTATTCTGATTTTGATTTCGATTACGAACCAAATGGATCTTTAATTCTGGCATAATGAAGCACGTAAGGAATCAATCAAAGAAAACCTATGGATTTAGAAAATGTGTAGTGGCCTAGTGGGTTTAGAGATGAATTATCCTTTACCTACTTGTATTCTGCACGGGCCCTTTCACTACTAAACCCAAACAATTAAGGAAATTTGAGCGTTTTGTGATGTATGGCATTACAGTTGAATTTTCGATGGTGCTGCCAAATCTTCTACAATCAGCTGGTGCTGATTGTGTCGTGTTTGAGTCTTCTGCTGTTTTTTGTCCTATTTGAACTGTAACTTGTCATAGCACAGGATTCTACCAAGAAGTCACTCGAACTAATTTACGGTGGGGCCATGAAATGCTTTGATTTAGTTGTTTCAGCACTGTAACAAATGTGGATTGTTTAATATCTGAAGCGGTTGAATGTGCCTTGCGATTTAAGGATAGAAGAATTGTAGCCATTTGGGATTTTTTGAATGTCATTTTCCTGATTGAACAAATAGAAGAAGACGCGAAGACGGAAATCCTAGAAAAATGGTACATCTGGTTAAAGAAGAAATTATCAACAAAAACAGCCAAAACTGTTGAATGATTAAGACGATTTCATTGTCCAAATTAATAATTTATTAATCAAATCAACGATTTATTAATCAGTAACCGGTTTCTGATTTCAATCAAATAAGCATATGGTTATCAAACAAATACAACACAAGCCAACTTAGGTGGTTCAGTATTATTGGCTGGTTTGTTTGAGCAGAGGCGTGGATTGGTTCTTGCAATCATCAGCCTTGAGGAGGAGGGGATTATTATTACGGTGCTGTGCGATTTGAACAGCGCTATCTAGAATTTCGGCATATTACCAAAATATTAAAAGGGRAATTCTCTATAAATTATCATAACTTTTCAGCATTTATCTTAAATTTATCATAACTTTTCAAAATATTTAGTGAACTCATGTTAGTAACTTAGCGTTAAATAGAGTAACAGATATTATCAAATTACCATTTTACCTTTGTTAATGTTTAAAACTTTACAATATTCCAGAAATACTCTTTTCTATTTCTCTTATTGTCCAGATTTCATTGATGCTCAATCGACTTTTTGCTGGAATCAGGGTTGTAGTGGGTTTGGAGTTTTCTATAACTCGGTCCAGAATTCTATCTAAAATAGGGTTTTGTAGATTAGGATCAATAAGAAGAATTCTCTACTATTTCAAAATAATTCCGACATGTATGAATGTTGTGAGACACTACGGGCCGAATGGAAGTGCAGGAGGCTGGCGACTGAGTTCAGAGGACTAGAGGAGCTTACCTGGTAAATAGGTTCAAATCCGCCCAGACCAAGTTTATTTTCTGATGAAAAGTTGTCTGTGGCGGATAGACTTTTCTGAGTAGTTTTAATTTACGATTTTCCTTCCCGTTTTCAATTTCAAGTAATAATTTCTCTTTCATTTTGTTCTGCTGAATATAGAGAAAGTGAGAAACATAAGATCTTGCTCCGTTGCTCGTCTTTTAATTGATAGAAACTATTTTCTTTTCAACTTTTAGGTTGACTGTGAGAGGTTTTCTCTCGACACGAGACTTTTCTTCAAGCAACAAAAGATGCCCAAAACCAATTTTTACTCTAGTTCACTTTTGTATGTATTTGGCAATATTACATTTATGCATTGACAAATGATAAAAAATATATTTTCTAATGCAATGTTTACATTGATAATAAGATATAAAGGCTCAGTTTGGAAGGAGTACAAATACAAATACGTAGACTGCAAATCCATGTATTTTTGTATTATTTTGTATGCATTTGCACTGTATATATTTGTATTTGTACTTTTTCCAAACTGAGAAAAAAGTACTATGAGGGCAATAAGAGAGAGAGATAATTGATAATAATGGTCGAATATCTATTCTCCTTTCTTTGGTGATATATATAGAGTACAAGAAGTTCTATCTGAAATAGGATAGGTTAGATGCAATCCTAATTAGGATAATCCTTATCTTACTAGGATAGGTTTATCCTTTACAAAGATAATCCACAAGTATATAGGATAGGGGTTATCTACAAGAAGGAGAAGTATAGGATAGGGGTTATCTACAATAAGGAGAATTACAATGTGAAAGGTATTTACATGATTAGAGGGAAGAGGAGTTTACAAGATGAAGTAGGAGTCTTGGGTGCATGTGCCATGCACATTAGTATGTTGTCAGTTACACCCCCCCTCAAGTGCAGCTAGGGGAGAAACGGTGAGCTTGTGACGAAGGACCTCGAATTGCTGAAGACTGAGAGGCTTGATAAGGATGTTTGCGAATTGATCAGCCGAGGGTATGTACCGAACATCAGGAAGCTTCGCTGCAACATTTTTCCGTATGAAGTGAATATCCAACTCGATGCGTTTAGAACAAGAATGAACTGCAGGATTATTAGCAAGAAATTTAACGCCCATGTTGTCACACCATATCAAAGGAGCGACAGAGAGAGAGATACCCAATTCTTGGAGGAGCATATGAAGCCACAAAACCTCAGCAGTCGCGGAAGCTAAGCTGCGATATTCTGACTTAGTACTGGAACGAGCCATCATGGGTTGCTTTTTGGAGCTCCAAGAAATTAAATTAGAACCAAGAAACACACAATAACCACTCTGAGAACGACGATACATAAGACAACTACCCCAATCAGCACTAGAGTAAGCAACAAGAGAGAACGTACGGCATGGTCGAAGAAGCAAACCATACATGATCGTCCCTTTGAGGTATCGAAGAATCCTCTTTGCAGCTGCCCAATGAACAGTAGTAGGGGTTTGCTTGAACTGACAAATCTTATTCATAGCAAAGGCTATTTCTGGACGTGTAATAGTTATGTACTTGAGAGCACCAACAATATTGCGAAAAAAGGTTGGATTAGCGAGAGGTTCCCCTTCCGATTTGGTGAGCCGAGTAGAGGCAAACATGGGAGTAGAGAGGGGTTTGGCATCGTGAAGCTATGCTCGATGCAGAACTAAAATAACAACTAAATAGAGAGGCATCTTCTGATATTATTCTAGATCCTGTAATGATGATGTCATCAACATAAATAAGAACTAAAATAATATCAGATCTAGAATGAGAAATAAATAGAGAGGCATCTGCTCGAGATTCGAGAAACCCTAGAGAAAGAAGAAAATCACGCAGCCGTGTAAACCATGCACGAGGTGCCTGTTTCAAACCATAGAGAGAGCGATTGAAGCGGTAAATATGTGTTGGGAATCTGGGATCAACAAATCCAACAGGTTGCTTCATATATATCTCCTCTGAAATGTGGCGGCGAAGATCTTAGTTAAAAGAAACTGCAAGAGATAATATTATGCGAATCATAGCCGATTTAACCAAATGGTTGAATGTCTCATCATAATCAAGACCAGCTTCCTGAGAGTAGCCCTTGGCAACAAGACAGGCTTTGAAGCATTCAACCACACCATCAGGCTTACGTTTGATTTTAAAAACCCATTTGTTGCCAATAATATTTCTATTAGGGAGTGCCGGGACAAGAGTCCAAGTGTTATTTTGAATTAAAGCCCTATATTCATCAGTCATAGCAATGACTCAGCGAGGATCCTTGTGAGCTTGGGAATAACAAGTAGGTTCGGATTCCGGAAGAGGACTAGCAAGAAGGGCATACCTCGGATTAGGCTTGAATATACCATGTCTAGCCCGAGTGATCATGGGATGCAAGGAAGAGGTAGGCGGCGGGGCAGAATTAGTAGATACTGCAGTTGAAGGGAGCACAACATCCTGAGGTGTAGATGAAGAAGATGAAACCTCACCTGGCAATGTAGTGTCAGAAGCAGCAACAAGGGGAGGATCCCCAACTAGAGGCGGTGAAATCGATGATGGAGAAGATGTAGCAGCAGTCATAGTAAGGAAGGGATAGGAATCGTCATTAAAAATGACATCCCGAGAGATAAAAATCCATCCTGTAGATTAATGCAGGCAAACATATCCTTTGTGAGAATTAGAATAGCCAAGAAATACACATGAAAGAGAGCGAGGCTRTAACTTGTGCTTATTATACGGCTGAACATGTGGAAAGCACTCAAATCCAAAGGCATGGAGTTTGAGGTAGTCCGGAGGACGACCAAATAATTTCTCAAAGGGAGAACACGATCTAAGAACTGAAGTAGGAAGCCGATTAATAAGATAGACTATAGTGGAGAAGGACTCAAACCAATATTTTTGAGGAATCCTGGCATGAGTCATAAGAGCAAGAACAGTTTCAACAATATGGCGAAGTTTGCATTCAACTCACCCATTCTGTGCCTATGTGTGCGGACATGATGTACGACGAGAGATGCCCACATGATGAAAATAGTTTTCAAAGGTATTAAATTCAGAGCCACCATCACTTTGAAAATATTTAATTTTTAGTGTCAAACAACAATTCAACATTGGCTTTGAATTTTAAGAACACATTAAATGCCTCAGATTTGTAAGTAAGAGGAAAAATCCAACTATAACGACTAAAATCTTCAACAAACATAATATAGTAATGATAGCCAGAAGCAGATGTCACTGGAGAGGGTCCCCATAAATCACAATGAATTAATTCTAAGGGAGAATTACTA